ACACACTACTGCATGCGCGGGTGAAAAGACAGCGGGTGTGAGTCTTTATATATATATATATATAGCTCTGTCTCTTTTTGGGTGTTCCCTAAATCGCTCTACAATGAACATAGGATGCTTCCGTTTGAAAGCACAAGTGAACTACACATCAAGATGGGTACGAGGGAAAGGAGAGAGAGAGAGAGAGAGCAGTCTATTGACACTAGCACTCCCCCAGAGATTCTTTTTGTAGAGCTCTACATCTCAGGCATCCTCCACAATCGCTTCGCTTAAGATATAAGGACTACATGATCTCCGCCGCTCATCTCACCGGGACAACATGTGGATCATCCCTGAACATCGCTACTCGGCTTGATGTAAAGCAGCAAAAGCAACAAGATTCGAATCAGATGATCGAGGTGGACCTGTTTGGATGATCGAGGTGGACCTGTTTGGGTATCGCCTTTGATTGTTCACTATATATCGCTTTGCTGCGACTTGAATGACAAACAAGCCTCACAGAAGTCGCATAGATTCCAGCGTGCCAATCCGGGAAAACCAGGACCAATGTCTTCCCCAGTCTATCGCATCCTTCCAGATGCCCGGCTACAAGGCTGGTGCGAGATGCAACATGCCTGGTGTTTTACGAACTCGATCTTGATAGTTCAACCTCCAGGTGAGGTAAAACATGGTAAAGACTCGTTGGTGAAGCTCCAGGAAAATTGTGTCCATGCGAACATTTTTCCGGTGAATACAACTGTTTGCATTGATTGGGGCTCACAGTGCCGATCCCTGCACTTGAAATGGATCTTTTTGGTGGGCCAAAGTGTCTAACGGTCTACTTTCTACCTTATCATACCCTAAATCATTTGAAACATCTGACCGGTCACCCTCAATCGGTTTCGACATGTTTTGACATACCCTTGGGGGGACGCGTCGGATTTTGTCGGCGTTCACGCGAGGACCCGGAGCAACCCAACGGCGGGAAGCAAGCAAGACAGCTGAATCTAGAAGCTTAGAGTATAATGTATAATGAAAACACCACTCATTTGGATTAAATGATCGCATCTCTTCATATAATTCTGGGGGGTTCAGAGATCAAGTATAGTCTATATTCAGCTGGGCTGCCAGTCTTCCATGATCTTCCATGCTTCGCAGAGCCGGACCAACCCGGAGCGACCAACCCAGCCAGTTTCGGAAAACTGGGCGAGACGGTCGGAGCTCCATTCACAGCTGCTGTCGCCTCGCTCGAAAGGCTTCTCTGTGGCGTGGCTCCCTGTGGCGTGGCCTTGGCTGCCCTTGGAAGTCGGTCGTGGGTGGTGCTTGACTAGTCACGACTAGTCGTGTAATTACCATGCAACATCAAATAACGTTAGGTTTACGGTGGATTGAGAGGACCAATGGCACAGACCCCAAGGTCGGTGGTGCAAAAACTCTGGACCTCTAATTTGTCTAAGACATCATTTGGGGGAAACGTGCCTCTGAAACCATCTGAAACCACTGTCAATGGGGGCTCAGCGGGACCTCCGTCGTTCCGCCAGGTGGACCTTCGTTGTACCCCCTGTGCAGCCGGGTGGAGCGCAGGTGCACTGCCAAGGCGCGCCAATGGTGCGGGGGGCAGTGCCAGTGGTCTACTCAAGTCGCATGCGACATAAATATGACATAAATGCAACCATTCAATTGGACCAAGGGAGTGCAAAAAGACAAGACTACCCAGGTTCTTTATATTACTGTAATATAGATCAAGCTAATGAACTGGGATGGCAGGGTTGAACATGGGTGTGTCTCACGGAGCACATGGGTGTGTTTGATTCCTTGTGGGAAGGACTCCCTGATTCTGGGGTCCAAAGCCATGTGTTTGATGCTTTCTCCGCCACAGTACCAAACAAAGCAAGCCTTGTGGCCTTGTCGGGTTTGTACTGTTCCTGTGCATGACTCAATGACGGGAGGGTGGGCTTATGATGAGCAATCTACCTCCAACCGCCCAGCTTGCCAAACCCCAAAATCATCCCATGCAGAGCAAAGTCATCCCAGGCGTCAGTAGAGAAGTACTCCAAGATGTACTCGAAGATACGGGCCGTCGGGAGTGCGGGTCACGGACAAGACCAGCTTGTCAAAGTGAGTTATCAAGTCACTTCTTTGGCTTTTCATCTAACAGCTCCCAAGACTGATAAGACCGAGTTATCAAGTCACTTCTTTTGCAGTTATCAAGACCGGTGGCTCATCTAACAGCTCCCCCGTCCAAAAGCTCACCCGCCACTCCGCGTTCTTCTACGCGCGACCGCGCGTCAGGTTCTCCGGTGAAGAAATGGGAACTGCAAGCGCGATGCATCGAGACAGCAGATGTGTCGATCCGAGGGGATTCGTTCGTGTCGACCATCCAGCATCAGCAGCATCAGCAGCTGCATCGCATCCCATAGCTGCCATAGAAAGGGAGGGTGGCCAAGAGTAAGGCATCAGGCATCACCTGCCAGCGCCGCTTGCGCGAACTACCATGATGACCAGGGCAAGAGGGCTCCCATTCAAAGTGGGCAGGGCTGAACCGCATGATGCGTCTGTTCTGCATGAGCTGGGTCCTGTGAGCGAGACAAGTTTCCTGAGCTTGTTACTACCTCTCTTCTTGGTGGCTGAGGTTTGTTCGCCGGAGCTTGTTCTCGAAGTTCTGCAAAGACATCTCATGGTGGCGTCTCCCTGCGGGGAAAAATAAAAACAGACCGTCAACGTGATCACATTGTTATACACATGTTGTCGCCATTCACCAGGTGAAGCACCTTGGTAATGTAGACTCTTGATTAGTTTATATAAAGGGTGTATAAACACACCTTTGGGAAGTGTTAAACCTCTTCAATATGTTGGGGGTTTATGAATCAATTGAGTCTACATTGTCGAGATTAATGATCAGCCATGGGGGGGGTGAAGTAGTGTAGGTGGATCAACAAAAGGACACACTCCTGATCAAGTTCTCAACCTTTGCAGGTCCAGTTGCCCAATTTCTCCACCTGACCGGTCGACCCTGGCCGATCGAACTCCGGGTGCCACGGAGACTTTACCGCCGAACTCGCCGCTTCGGCGGTTGGCGCTGAGTTGGCGGACAACTGCTTCGCCACTGTTTCAAGGAGGCGGCCAACTCAGCTCTCCCAGGCCGGCCGATTCTCGGTGCTCAACCGGTGTTCAAAAAAGGATGAATGGTGTGGACTGTCGGTGGTCGGTTCGGGGGGGGGGGCTGACGGTGAGCCGTGGTGAGCCGTAGTGAGCCGAATGTTCCAGATGGCACAAGTTGCAAGAAGAAGTGGGAGCAAGAGTGTGTTGGGCAGGCTGTTGGACCGGAGACGGACCCAAAGACCTCCAGCTGGGACCAGGCCATTCCAAGATATTCCAAGCTGCGAAACAGTGAGCTGAGTTTATGTAAGTTCATCATCTAACTGACTCACATGTTCAAAGAAAGGTGCAACGATCAAACTCTCAACCCAAAACCTTGGATGGCCTAAAGGTGTGCTCGACCTGTAGAAACATGGAGAACCAATGGATGGACCAGGTGAAGAACCCTAAGCATAGACGCTGAGCAGCCTTCAGTTCGACCATTCAATCAACAGCGCCCAGACATACTACCCAGAGCCTCGATGTAGTATAGTATCCTCACATTCGGGTCATAGATGGGGTCATACTGTCACTCGTCACGCACACTTAAGCACCCCCCAACCCGTTTGCTTGATTGCTTGACCGTGTCGCACGGTCCGGTTCGGCCGACTGTGTGACACACACACGCCAGAGACAGAGAGGCGACGGAGAGGGCGACGTGGAGAACTGGCAGGAGCTCGAAACCGAAAGTGAGGACGAGGACGAGGAGGAGGAGGAAGAGTGGGACACGCCACTTGGACCGGACATGGTTTTGGAAGAAAGAAGGGAAACCACACATGTTAGACCTCAGATATTCCAGGGATATTCCAGGGTAGGGATTTAAAAACATGATGATATATGATGTGTGATTGATATATCATACCATGAGTAATTTCTTTATTATTTTGCTAGGTGGTGGACTGTCCCACCCATCCATGGCATCATATATTGTGATTGAATTGCTCAATTTGTTTGGGGCCACCTGTCATCGATGTTCATCGATGCTCATCGACATGCTTGAATGGCACGAGAGCTGGAGCTGGTCAGACCAGACCGGTCACCAGAGCTCAACCGACCGGTCAAAAATGGTGCGGCTTTACAGAAACAGCCGGTTTCAGGTCGTAGATGCCAACAACCCCCCAACAATCCCCAACATGTCCTTGACAAAGATGGGGATCCCAATAGTGGGGGTCCATCTCATTCAACCAAATTTGTGTTGTTTTGTGTGTCTTTGGGTGCCATCTCTGAAACTACTGCTACGACCCCGGCGGTGCCATCTCCGAACCGAGCTGCTCCGAACCGAGCCGAACCGAGCTGCTCGTCGTGACGGGAGTGTCGCGCGAGGTTGGGTGAGCTGGTGCAGCTGCCGCGCAGTGGCCCTGCACAGTGACCTGGACCACCCGTCCGTCCGGTGAGGGAGGGCGGTCGGCGAGGCCGAGGGCGAAGGCCGGTTCCGTCCATACGACAGCGTGTGGGTCGGCGGAAGAGGTGCGATGACAGCGGTGGGTCGGCTGAAACGGTGCGATTGGGATCGATTTGGGATGAGAGCTTTCACATGGAAAAAGTGGAAGAATCGGTTCAAGGGACCTTGAGTGAGGCCTGGTTTGCTCGGTTCGAGAAGGATAATATGAATGTTGACAAGTTGTCACCAGGTACCATGATCAGAAGTAGTTAGTTCATGTTCAATAATACGTATACCATCGTACACCAGAAACACACTAGAAGTAACGCAACGGAGGAAGGATCGGTCTCAGTGTGTGGGGGTTCCATTTGTCGCATGCTAAGGGACTGAGAGCCCTGTTCAGGGCTTCGCGGCTGGAAGACGCACCCAGAGGGCCCGATGGACGAGCATAGATAGCATAGCCTTCTTTTCGCCCTTGGGGAACAAAAGACCTGTCGAGTCATACTAAAGGTACACCCGGGAAGATTGACACCTGAACATGGACCTTTGGAAGACTACTTTCCTCTACAATCCAGTGGTTTTCAGGTTCCATGTGAATCTTTCAGGGCGTATCTTATTGGGCAATAATTTAATAGATTCATTTAGTTATGTTTCTCTTCAGGCTGACTTGTTCCGCAGAGTGTGATGCCCGGCGATTTTGGCTCAAGTTCCTTGGAGTGGGGGGGGGCGCGCGTCGCGTTCGTTGATGGGTGCCTTGGAGCTTTACCTACACTGGACTTCACTGCTAGCCAACCTCCTCTCACTGGTCAAGTCGCCGGGGGCTGGTAGGTGCGACTGCCATTGTCACGAGCAGCTAACAGGTGGTTGTGTGACTCTGGTGAAAGAAGTGTTGTCGGTGTGCACTGAATTTAGCTCTGGGACTACCTCAACTACCACTACTACACCCGGAACTCTGTCAACTGATTGGTCTTGGATTTGGCTCATTCTCTTGCTTCTGGTGTTCACAGGTGGTCTGATTTCAGGAGCTGCTTTGCATCTCACCTTCAGACCTGGCCCCAAGAAGCAGTTGGCCATTGCTGGCCCTGCAGGCCCTGATAGCCCAGTTGTCAAAGTTCGCAAAGGACTAGCTGCGTGATGGCTGCCGGGGTGGCAGTCACCCTTGATGTGCCAGAGCTGCAGATGCTGGTTGAGTTTCCGGGCGACGCGAACGGCCTGGACTTTCATCACAGAGTGCTATGGTATCGAGTAGATCGGTCCGTCTGGATCATCTCCACACCAGATGGTGATGTGTATGAGGAGGACTATGACAACACGACTGTCATCCCCTTACCTAGGAGAGGACCCTATCCCAACGCTCAAGCTGGGCAGATGTACATTCCAGACAATGCTGCAGTTATGGCTCAGTATGGGGAACTACGCAGACAAGCAGAGAGCCTAGCTCTAGTCAGAGGGTGCCTAGACCGACCAGGTGTGGTGGCAGGAGCTGATGCTGTTGGCGCAGGTCAATGGCGTGTGGCTGATGTAGATTCAAAGCGGTTCGGAGAGATCATCCCAAATGGTGAGCTGAACGAGGCATCGCACAATGTTCACCTGCAGGTTGGAGATGTTCAGAAGCGGCTTCATTTTGTCGGAGGCGAGATTGTGGCCTTGGAGTTGGTTAGCAACTTTGATGAGTGGAAGAACAAGAAGCGCCCGGGCCTTCCGGGTGGTGATGCAGGTGACCTCCGCATCTTGGGATGCACTCGTCTTTCCTCTGGCAAGAGACAGCTGACTTTGACGGACGCGCTGACCTCAATGTCTCAGCAGGCCTTTGATGATTGGCCGCATCGCGGACCCCGTGCCACTAGGGAGTTTCTGGAAAGTGTGTGTGAGAATGGTGGTGACTTTGCAACCTATCATGCTTCCTTCATGCGAAAGAGTGGTCTTCCGGACTCCTGCGCGGCAGCTCACGAGCTTCGCAACCTCCTCCAGATCGTCAAGTTTGCCATCTCCTATGACCAGGTCGACTGCAGCAACTTAGCTGCCATCTAGCAGGCTGTGAGACGGATCTTAGAGATTCAGACTGCTGTTCGCCGCAATCCCAAGCACCCCACCTTCGATGCCTTTGATTACAACACCAGAGGTTCGGTTGATGAAGTTGGAGGCGCAAGGGCGCCTGGCTATGCTGAATGGATGGCAGAGCAGCAAAGAGCCGAGGCCAAAGTGCTCAAGAACACACGTGAATGGCGAGATGAACAAGCTGCTGAGAGACGTCGCGCAGCCAAGACCTCCGGAGATCGTGCTGACTCTGACGATGATCCCGCCGGTGAGAGCAAGAAAAAGAAGAACAAGAAGAAGAAGGGCGCTGGTGCAGCCAGCGCCTCAGCCCCATGAGCTCTCCTGATGGTCGCCATGGTGAGGGCGACATGACAAATGCTCACCGTTGCATGGTCCAGAATTCATCTACCACTTTGGGTGGACACCGTTCCGAATTGTTCCCTATGTCCTCTCTGCCTTGGAGAGACCGCAGGGCTCGATCGTCCCCCTTCCTTGCTGATGCTGCTGGTGTTCAAGGGTACGGGAGGCGGATGGCTGGTCGTGTGAATGAGGCCATTGGCTCTCTCAATGCTTTGAGCAATGTTTCCGTGCGCTCCATCAAGCGAGGCTCTTTTGATCATGGGCTTCGACCTGGTGACAAGCCGACCCGTCCTCAGGAGGCCATTCTCTCGAGGCTCGCGACCAATGTTCACGAGTCGGGCACTTGTCCTGCTGGGTTGACTCCGAAGTTGTGCTTTGAGGAGGTGATCAAGTCCAAGGACATGTATTCACTTTCCCAATGTGCGGTTGCCCCCTATGACCTTGCCTTGTTGAAGGTCGCAAAGACTGAGACAGTCCCCAAGGAGGCCACTCAGCTTCTACCTCCAACGGAAGCCTCTTATCTCCTCCATCCAGAACGACACATCCTTCGATCGCCTCAGGACATCCAGACTTGGGCTGATGCCAACGCTGACTTTCATCCTTACTGGGATGAGACCTTGAGGAAGGATAGACAGCTCAGGCTTGAGCTTTATCAGATCCTTGCCAAGAAGTCTCTCTTGAGTTTTCGAAAGAAGATTTCAGCTCGGGTTGGACTCTTTTTTGTTTGGAAAGCCTCACGCAAGGGCATCCGCTTGATAGTTGATGCTAGGATGGCCAACGCATGCCATGTTCGTCCTCCCAAGACTAGGCTGGGAGGAGCTTCAGCATTAGCAGAGCTTGACGCTTTCCTGCAGGACAGTGACTTGGCTGCTCTCGGAGAAGGATATGGAGGACCTGTCTCTCTTCCTTGCAATCTGTTTGGATGCACAGGAGATGTCAGTGATGCTTTTTACCAGTTCTCAGTTGAAACTTTGGCTGAATGGTTTGGGCTAGATGATCCTGTTTTTGCATTTGAATTTGGAGTTACCGAAGTCTGGGATCCAGACAAGGGTTGCAACGTGAAAGTGCAGCCTGGCGAAAGACTGTTCCCTGTTTTTGTAGGGATGCCGCAGGGCTGGGCATGGGCGCTTCATTTTTGCAATTGCGCTGTAGAATACAACATGTCCAAGGCTTTGGGAGCTTCACAGTTTGTTAAGGAAGGTCTTCCTCCCCCTGATCTGAGACAGGGTCCCGTTGGGTCGGTTTATGTCGACAACATCGGCACCTTTGGTTTCCTTGGTTCAGCAGTCACTAAGTCTTTTGACGATTGCGTTCAAACACTGGAATCTGCCGGGTTTGTCCTACATGAGCTCGACAAAGACTCAGTTGAAGTCGCGAATGTTGGCATTGTGGTCCATAGGTACAAGAAGGAGATCCGACACACAAGAAAACGTAGCTGGAGGCTCTACCTCGCTTTGAAGCACGTTTTGCGTTTGAAGAAGATCACCTGCGAAGCGCTGCGCATTGTTATCGGTCATTTGGTGCATTATTTCACCTTGTTTAGGCCCGCTCTGTCAGTCTTGCACCACAGCTATAAGTTTGTCTATGAACATTTGGATGGACGGTCTCACTCCCTCCCCGGGAGAGTGAAGCGTGAGCTGCGCATGGCTGTTGGGCTTATTTTTCAGATCAAGGTTGACCTGTCTGCTCCATACGCTGATCACATATATTGCGGGGACTCCAGCACCTATGGCTATTGTTTCCAAAGCACCCCCTCGACGGCTGAGGAGCAGCGACATCTCTTCAGATACCATGAGCGTTGGAGGTTTGCGCAGTTGGAGGAGGGAGTGGGGCAGGGGTTGGGGTCGCACCATGCCTGGTCGGCTGATTTTGCGTTGCCAGACATCGCATACACCCGCTGGCTCTGCGCTCGCAACGCCATCCCCTTTCCTGGAGGTGAAGAGCTTGAGAAAGGATCCAAAGACTTTTCAGGTGGAGACCATTTGAGGCGTTTTCACCATGTCGATTTGGTTGGACTTGTGCCTAGGCTTCCCGACTCTCTGGTAGACCACACGCGCTGGAGGACCATCATTCAGCGGAAGTGGAAACACAATGAATCCATTCATATGAAAGAGGGTCGGGTCGCTTTAATGACGCTCCGACGTGAAGCTAAGAAGGCCTCATCTCATGGCAAAAGACTACTGACTTTGTGCGATAACCTTTCGGCCACTTGCGCCTTTGACAAGGGGCGTGCCAAAGATCTCGCCCTGCTGGTGCTGTGCAGAAAGGCGGCAGCCATTCAGATTGGGACTGCCATTAGGTGGCACCTTCGTTATGTTGAGAGTGCGCGCAATCCATCCGACAGAGACTCACGCGTGTTCCCTGGAGATCATGGACACCGAGGTTCTCCACTCTCTGCAGCTGACGCTACAGGCTTGAAGCAGGGATTCTCAAACCACACTCCACCTTTGCTGAGCTCTTCTTGCACAGCGCGGGGGGGAAACCCTACTGCGGTATCCAGTCGGGGTGGAGTGCGGGGCGGGAGTCCTGTTGGTCAAGCAGTTGGGGTAGAGAGATGTGTTCCAAGGAGGGCGAAACGAACAGAAGGTTGCTCTCTCGAGCCTGCAAATTCGGAGGCAAGGCCCCCCTTGCTCTGTGACGATCTTTTGACTCCATCGTCGCCATCCCGAAGCATCGTGCAGACCAGTCACGTGGTTAAAAGGTCTGCCAAGCTATGCAGCAGTGTTCCTGAGGTTGCCCCCTCTTTCATTGAGTTGTTCAGTGGCTCTTCTCGTTTGACGGCAGCTGTTCAAGAGAGTGGTTTGCGTGTTGGGGTGCCATTTGATCTGTCCAATGGGAATTGTTTCGACCTGACGAAAGTTGGCATACAACATCTCATTTTGGATTGGATTAAGACCCACCGGATCTGGTATGTACACCTCGCCACCCCTTCCACTGTTTACAGAATTGCCAAAAAGAAATCCGCCACTGGAACCAGATTGAAGATGTCAGATCAGTGTGCCCACTTCACAGCTTCTGTCATTTTGCAATGTGAGCTATCGGGTGTGTTCTACTCCCTTGAGAACCCCAAGTCCTCCAAGCTTCTCAGACACTATAGAGTTCAGCAAGCTTTGGCCAGTACCTCCGCTGTTTTCATTGAGTATGACTGTTGTAGATATGGGTGTTCATACAGGAAACCAACCTACATTGCAACAAACTGTCGTGCACTGGTATCACTGGGTTTACGGTGTCTTTGCGGGGGCAAACACAACGACCAGCTTCGTGGACGTGTCAAATTACCTCCTTCTTCTAGGAAGCCTGGTTGGCATTGGAAAACCTCACTGGCCGGCGAATACCCCGGACCACTATGTTTTGCATGGGCCTCACTTTTGCAATATGTTGCTCCAGCGTCCGCACACAGGTCTGCTAGGGAACCTCTTTTCTTGCCCGGATGGTTGGATGAAGTTTCCAAAGTCACTAGCTCCACGGTCCCAAGCACATTCATCCTCGAGCAGTGCCCCAAAGACTACACCTGTCCCTGGGCCAGTGCTGCAGACTCGTGGGGAACCGAAAGACAAGAAGCAGGCTCGGGTAGCAAAAGATCGTCTCAGCAAGCTCACTGACACCGCTCCTGGTTTTTTGAGAAAGGCAAAAATTCGGAAGTCGTCGACCCGGACATTGTATGCTGATGCCTGAACTGGCGCGCTGTGCTCAGACAAGTCAAAATTTGCCACTATGTCACAGCTTGACCGTGCTCTGGAGTCCTTTGGAGAGAGCCTATATCTACAGGGAAAGCCAAAATACACTTTCGACTGCGCCATTCAGAACTGCAACGTCGAATACCCAGCGTGGCCAACCAATGCCCGCCTCAACTACCCCCTGGCTAAGGCTGCCAAGCGTGGTTGGGGTACACTGGAGCCTGGGTCCTCCCGGGAACCATGTCCGCTGGAAGTTGCTTTCTGGATTGCGTCCGATCTGCTGGCAAGGAACCTTCTCAGCATTGCTGCAGCTGTTGTTTTGTGTTTCGATACATACATCCGCCCTGGAAAACTGCTAGAACTTAGACACTGCAATGTCATTTCACCTGCTCGTGGTTTGAGTCGGCAATATATCCAGTGGACACTACTGCTGCACCAAGAAGCACAGGATCCGTCCAAGACGGGACAACACAATGACAGTCTCATTGTGGGCTCCTTTGAGCGTGAGTGGATCGGTACTTTGTTGGGACACCTTTACAAGCGTCATTCGAAAGGAGTTCAGGCCTTTTTGTTTGATTTCGATTTGTCCACTTTTGAGAAGGAGTTCAAACACTCTGTAAACAATTTGGGCATTCAAAAGCTGAAACTTTCACCCCATTGCCTGCGCCATGGGGGAGCCAGTCATGACTATTTCATTGGGTCTAGAAGCCTGGCTGACATACAGCAAAGGGGATGTTGGGCTACTTTCGATAGTGTTCGTCGCTACTCCAAACACGGACGACTTTCTAAGCAACTCGGACTGCTCACCCCTTTGCAGTTACAAAACGCCAAGCAAGCCTCTCTGGAATTGCCACGCAAACTTTTGCGTAGCTTTACTTGACTTGCTCAGCAGCCTTACCCCCTATAATGGACCAAGAATATGGGAGTGATTGATTCGTTTGGCGGCAAATTTCGCGCCTTTCGTTCTC